AGAGAGAGTAGTAAGAGAGAGAGAGAGAGAGAGAGAGAGAAAGAATAGATAAAAACAATTATCGCGTTTACCTGAGCCTGCTCGTCGCAGAACGAGGAGAATTCACGGATTCGAAGGGTCCGTGGAAAAACTAGACACAGAACGAAATCTAATGACACCCCGACCGTTACTAATGACCCTAACGAGCTAGTTAGATGTTAGAGCGAATGTCGGTGGGCTCTCGGCCGGACCCTGCGCCGAGTGAACCCACTTACCGACTTATCACGTAGTTACCTAATCTGTTTATCCCAACGGGGGGTGGGCGAGGGGTACACCGGCCTGGCAAAGTTGGAAGGGTGCACGGACGTCCCCGAGGACACCCCCTCCTCCACGCTGGAGATCATCCAGCAGGCGTCGTTTCGGACACACATGTGCACCGTTTTCGAATATCGTGGACAAGCGGAGACAAGCGTGCGGTTAAATTCTTTCTTTGCGCCGAAGATTTGATTGAAAATGAAGATCGGGTAGAAAAATGTTTGGTTCATTCACGGCCACGATCTGATTTATTCTCTTCGTCGAAGAATCGTTGGATGATTTTCTGACGATAAGATAGAGAATTTCGAGAAAAATCGAAGAGATTGAAATGTCGTGAAAATCCTCCCCGAAGGAAATTCTTCCCTGTTTTTTTCGCGTCGCGTTTCTAATCAACGATAAACGCGCGTACGAATTTCACTTAATTTTAAGTGGAGGTAGAGGGAAGCGGCCGCGGATAAAGGGAATGATAAATGCGCATTAAAAACATAATTTCACTTTGCGCGAGGGAAATCAATATTTTATTTAAACTATATTTCGGGCCTAGATGGAAGGGCACTTACACACGTCCCTGAGGATACCGTATATCTCTATCCCCTCCTACACCTACCGGTCCCCATTCGATTATCTACCTACCACATGTATCTCATTGAGGTTCATAATATGCAATAAAGTGAGCGTATACATCGTGACTCGATCGGCCGAACGTTATATCCAGGGTCGAAAAAAGAGGGGGGGGGGAAGGGGGAAAGATAAAATGGGATCTTTTTTGTACACATCTTTTAATCAAGAAATTATAGAATAATTAAAATTTACGATAACGATCGATGGGAATGAACGAGCGAAGACATAAAATTCGACGGGTGTCGCGAAGACTTGGAAAAAAAAAGGAGAACAAAATTTAACCGAACGCAAAAAGAAGATATCGATCAACAAATTCGAAATTCATACTTCAACTTCGCGCAAAATCCATTGCGATTCGTGTGTTGTACAAAGGCAATTTCCATCGAAATTCAATCGTCCATCGAAATTTTGATACGAATGAAAAAAAAAAAAAAGAAAATTGTATTTTCCCCTCCCCTCGTCGAATAAAAAATTACGGGGAAATTACGAAACTCGGTTGTCGTCTTCGACCGAAGAAGATGGGTAGTTAATAACTTGGAGGAGAGAAAGGAGATTCGACTTGGAAAGCGATCGGTGAATAGGCAAACTGGCGTCGAAGTTGTGAAGAGCGAGTCGACACCGGCGTCGGGACGCGGTTTAACCGGAAGTTGGGCCGAAGTGCAAATTAAGTTTAGCGGCCGTCCAGTTTGTAGCGTCCACTTTGCGTAACTCGGTCTAGTCGGTAATGTAACTTCATCGATGTGTTCCGCCAGAGCAAGTGCCGGTACAATCAATCTCCCTTTTCTCCCTTCCTCGCCAACCGCTGTCGCACAACTCGCACTGCCTTTCCACTTTCCTTTTGTAATTCGTTTATACATATACACTTTTGGGTAAATTGTTAGACCAATTTTTTCAAATTTATTTAAAAAAAAAAAAAAAGGAAAAGTATAATTTGTATAATTCGAACGAAACAAAAAAGTTGAAGAATAAATTGTTCGTTACTTTCATTTCCAAGTGAGTGTTAAAATAGCACACGCTAATAAATATCCATTAATGATTCACATCCATTGCTAAATTATTTAAATCTTGAACGGGGGCAGGTTCCCATCATCGTTTATAATTCCTGTTACGTTGGGGGCTGATTTGAGAAATTGGATTGACGTTTCTCCATGATACGTCCCGCTTTAAAGTCCGCCCTCGAGTGAAATCGAGGAGGAAGGGGTGGGGGGGGGGAGAATAGATGAAGAAATGTAAGATCATGGGCGGAATCAAATTTTTCTTACGGGGGCAAATCGGAACGAAACAGTACTCTGGGGACGTGGAACAAGGGATTCTCGACAGAGTACACACACGCGCGGATGAAATTTCTTGTTTCAGTCGTTAAATTTCTCTCACATTAAATTTCATCATCGAAATAAATCTGTTAGATATGTGGAAGAAAAAAAAAAAAAAAAGTTCTTTTCTCCTATCCGAAAATCCTTCCCCGAAACGCAAAGGAGGCAAATGGAATGTCTACTTACAGGGGTGAGTGGCGGCGAATGGGTACTCGAGGGTGGGTGGTAACCGTGGCGTTGGAAGACCCGGGGGGCAGTGGTAGCAGAACATGCCGCCAGGCCTGGCCACCGTCCACCCCCCGGCCCTCCACCCCCTCCTGCCCCCGGCACCTGCGGTTGGCTCGACTGCTGTTGCTGCTGTTGCTGCTGCTGCTGCTGTTGTTGCTGCTGCTGATGATGCGTGTGGTGGTGGTTATTGTTCGCCTGGTGAGTGTGAACCGATCCAATCTGCAATTAGAGGGAAGGAGGGCGTTACTTTTACGCAATTCGTGAGCATCATTCTTCCGAGAAGGCGAATTAGTCGCCTAGTTACGAATCGTCACGAGTATTTTTGAACGATTTATCACGAAAGAAGGGAGGGAGGAGAAATTGTGCAATTGTCGTCAGCGGTAATTGTTTTTTCCTGGGAGGATTAATTAGGAACGAAGGCTAATTTTTTTCCTCTCCTTTCTCTTTTTCTTTTAAACGGTAAAAAATTGAAACCACTCTTTCTTTCCCCTCTCCAGTGCACACGCTGTTCAACGGGTTAAACATCACGAAATTAATTCACCTCGAACATATTCAATTTCAGCTTAATTTTACCCGGCAAAGAATACGCTACTAGCTACGTACGTAGGATAGAGATAACAATTTTTCCTTAATTAATTCGATACAACTCGGTTTCATAATTATCAAACGTACGAGCCACAAGTTTCAATTTATATACAACGCAAATAATAATAACAACAACAAAGTAACTTCCTCCCTCGAACGTTCATATATCATAATACAATTTTACTAACATTATCCTTATTAAATGAGCCAAGTCGATTTTCACAATTTTTTCGAGAACAGCCTGTCTTTCTTATCCTCTCCTCTCCGCTTCCGATTTCCCCTCCCCCTTGATTTTCGGGAGAGGAACGGGATTTAACGCACAACGCAAAGAGGAACGCGTTGGAAGACCAACAGCCAGGTTCTCGCGGCCAAGGAGGACGAAACAAGGAGGCGTGCATAGTGCGGCGGCCGATCACGCCGATCCCCATTAGAGGGATTGTAAACTCCCCTGTAAATAAATGATGCGCGTATATCGGAGAGGGAGGGGAGGGGGAGGGGAAAGGGCTCTTTGCCTAAGCAGGCATCGGTCGTTGGAACTTAATAAACGGCGGGTTTATCAATTTATAATGGGTCAGCGTGTCGCGCATGCTCGGTGCCCCGCTTCAGGGCCGTAGTTACGTAACGCACGCGAACGGCCAGCTTTAAACTTCGAGCCTGTGTTCCCCAACACCATCCCTACGTTGCTTGCTTCCAACCACCACGATGCTTCCTTCTCTCTCTCTCTCTCTCTCTCTTCTTCGCTCCTATCCTTCGTCTCTCTCGAGCTCCTACTCGCCCCTTCACCCTTTGCGGCTCCGCTACAAGGGACAAATTGAATTTTAGATCATGCCGTGTGCTCTTCTGGGGTCCACGAGAAAACCGAGATGCGGAGGGAGTAGGAGAGAGAGAGAGAAGGGGTGGTGGTGGGGAGGGTCTGGGAGCAGCAGACGTCGAGATGATACTAATTGAAATTTGAAATTGATATTAGCGAATTATTACCCCTCTCTGTCGCGCTCGTTCCTGCTTGAGCCGAACGCAATTACGGCCGCGTGTCGGGTATCAAAAGTAATTGCTGCCAAACTTAACGAAATTTAGCCAATTTTCGTTTTCGGCTGCCTGACCTTCCGGACGACGGATTACCGGCTCGGGTTTCGCTTTACGTATGCACGCCGACTCCTTTACAGGGGAGATTGCAAATGCAATTTTCGGGGATGATCCCGATCCCTTGGAACCGTTTCAACGTCTTCCAAGGAATGCGAATACGTGACGAGTCGCGTGTTCCAGATTCGTTCCAGAAAATTTTTCCTCCAAGAAAAAAAAGAGAGAGAGAGAGAAAAAAAAGAAGGAAAGGAAAGAAAGCAACGCGTTCTCCTCCAATTCTTCTCGATTAACCCTTAAACCGGGAATCAAGCGAGACACCCTTTCCCAAATCCCAGCATCAAGCATCGTAAACCAGTGACACTATTAAACGGATCAGCCGATTAGTCGCAGGTAGAAAGAATCGACCCCACTCGAATATAAGCGGGGCACCCTTGGAGCAAACGGCACGTTAGAAGCGTGATGACGGAGCATACGCACCGACAGAAGGGACGAAATGTAGCGAGGCTAATCCACAGGGCTGGCCCCGGGGTGTCGCCTCTCTCCGGGTGGCGCGCCCCAAGTCCACGCCAGACCGGGCGGCACCCTTCGAAAAATAAAGTCCGCATGCGGTCCAGGGGTGTATTTGCGGTGTTCAACCAGCGGGGCGAAACATTATGCCAGTGTTTTATCGTGCAATCATCCGACTGCACGACCCCCTTATGCACGAGAGCATAAGGGATTGCGGCCTCGAGTGGAGTGTGTTTACACGTTGGCACACGCCGCGGATTTGTTACACGCTCGTTACGAGTTTCTATACGTGAACGGAATTTCCAACCTTTCCAAGTTAAGTTTTTGCTCGTGATTCGAAAATACGATCGATGGTATAATTTTTCTTTTTTAGAATTTTCTCGAGCGAGAAATACTTCCGTTTTTTTTTTTTTTTACGAATTTATGGTTGGTGTTATTGGTGTTATGGTATTTTTCCACGTACGCACGGTGAGCATGCAAATTGGTTCATCAGTGATGGCCGATCCCATCGATACCGATACCGATGTCGACGCACTAGGAGAGTGGCGACCAGTTCATTACGAAGTTTACGAAAATTACAGTTGGATGTTAGTCCCGTTGGTATCGGTGTATGAGTAATGCACACATCCAATGGTTCGGTAACCCGGATTATGGACATCCAGTAATACTGATATTCAATTATTTGGGTACACGTAGGAATATCTTGTTACCTGGCAGTTCTAATTGCGCGGGGCCAGTGTTATCGAGTTATCCCAGTTTAACATCCTTGCAAGTATAAAGCATCGTTTATGCAAAATTGAAACGCATCGATGATAATTCGATCGAGAATTACCGCGAGATCCGATCATCTGCCCTTTTATTCTCCTTTCGTTTCAGATATCCATAAATGTTAAAAACGATTTTTAACATTTTCACCGCTTAAAATTATTTAGTCACTTTAAACAAAAGTGTATATCGTGTACATGCCTATCCCAAACAACGTGATCAAATCTTTTCTTTCCGTCGATCGATAATCTAGAGGCAGAAATCCTTTGGAATTTCTTTCAAAATCTCTATTCAATCCCTCTACTCGTCCCTTCGACGCGTAAACAAAAGTGTGTATCGTCATTGCTATTCCAAACAAAACTCCCCTGTTATAACGATGATCAAATTTTTCTTTCTGAAAAACTAGAGACAAAAATCCTTTGGAATTTCTTTCAAAATCTCTATTCAATCCCTCTACTCGTCCCTTCGACGCGTAAACAAAAGTGCGTATCGTCATTGCTGTCTCAAACAAAACTCCCCTGTTATAACGATGATCAAATTTTTCTTTCTGAAAAACTAGAGACAAAAATCCTTTGGAATTTCTTTCAAAATCTCTATTCAATCCCTCTACTCGTCCCTTCGACGCGTAAACAAAAGTGTGTATCGTCATTGCTATTCCAAACAACGGTTACAATGATGATCAATCTTTTCTTTTCGTCGATCAAAAGACGAGGAGCAAAAATCCTTTGGAATTTCTTTCAAAATCTCTATTCAATCCCTCTACTCGTCCCTTCGACGCGTGAACAATGTGTATCCTGATTGTTGTCCCAAACAACAACGGTTACAACACGATCAAATCTTTTCTTTCCGAAAGATGAGGGAATTTCTTTTCATATATTCGTTAAAAACGATTTTTAACACCTTCACCCCTCAAAAATTCTATTTAATTCCTCTACTTCGACGCGTAAACCAAAGTGTGTATCGTCATTGCTGTTCCAAACAACGATTACAACACGATCAAATCTTTTCCTTTCGAAAGACTAGAGGCAAAAGTCCTGTGGAATTTCTATGAATTCGTTCGCGGGTGTATCAGAGAAGTGGCGCGAAAGCACGTGTGACACGAGCGGGTGAACAAGCCGGGTGTTTAGATTCCGCGTGTGTAACACTGCGCTCATTAGAGAGCGGCGCTAATTGCATAATTGGTGGCGGCAATTACGAGCAAAGCGGTGCCGCGTCGGGTGACGTCAACATCCAATAATTCGGCACGCGACGACAATCGCGCGATGCACCGCCACGCCATCGCGCAAATAGCACGAGTATCGCAATTAAAAGCGATAATACTGAAATTAGCCTCGCCCCAACCCCTCCTCACCCCCCTTTTTGGACAAACTTTGGCCGAACCGAGGAAGCGACCACTTTTTGTTTTCGTTTGGAGGTTTTGCATTAGGCTCGAAGTTTCCGAAATTATAAATTATAAATATTTCAGCGATTCGATGTGAATGTTGAAGCACAGGAAACCATAAATTAATATCTTGATGATCGAGGGGGACTAAAATTATCAATTACGTTTTAACAGAATTGGCATTAGTGTCAATGTTGATGTTAACGTTGATGATTAATATTAATCGAAATCCGAAATTGATTATTGATACCGCTATTAGTTACCTGAATTTACCATCCCGCAATTCTTCCCAATATTTGATCATTTTTTCTTTTTTTTTTTTTTTCTATCAAGTACAATATTTTAATTTGTCTTCTACGCTAATTTTGCATTTTGCGAGGATCGATCAACATTTTTGGATGGAAAAGACTCGAGCGTAGATGAAGAAATCAAGTTCTCGAGCTTTCCAGCTCGTGCTCAGCCAACTACGTAAAAATTGGCGTCGAATTGGAACGACATCGTGTCGTCGTACATTGGAAAACTTGACGGAGACGCGATTAACGAAGATTTCATTAGGGACAATATTGCGCTCGCATCGGCGCTCGTTGACCGGCGGGGTCCTGGTTTCTTTATTGGCCGGCTGGAATAAATTGGAGAGAATTAATTAAGCGGCACAAATTGGATGCACCGCGTTAGCCCTTATTCCTGGATGACACAATTTAATAAGCATCCTCTCCGCTTCCCTTCCCATCCGCGGCCCTTAAACTTTGAGGAATGCCAAGGATAAGCTTTCGTTAATTCCATTTGCCACGTTAGATAGATAACCTCTCTTCTTTGTTCTGATGATTGTGTATTGATTTCCTTTCCTGATGTAAAAGTTTCGAATTAAATCAATTCAAGACGATTTGTCGTCGATAAATAT